GCGCTCTAGTATCGAGTTCCCGGTAAGCGCAATAACATGCTAACACCTTAGGGCAGATGCGTCTTAGCTCTAAGTAGAGATACATGTAGCAATCTGGGCCCACTAGACATGCCTAAGTGCATCCCAATGGTCCAAACAAACACTTAAATGCGATCCAAGTGGACTAGCGTCGTCACTTTGTCATCGGTTAATATTTTAATGCGAAGAAGAACACGTACAAGTGCTTCAGAGTTTCGGAAATGTTTGCACTTTCGCAAGATTTGATGTTTTGAAGGTTTTAAGATGTTTTGGGTGTTATATTGTAGAAATATAAAGAAATACACGAAAATTATACCTAGCCGTTAATTCGTAAGCGATTTTTAATTTTAAAAAATCAGTGGTTTACCCTCGGTTTTTATTTAATATCTCCAAAACCGTTCAGGATAGAAAAATGAAATTTTGAGAATTGACCAAACTCCCTGTTAAATTGCATAAAATGTCACCTGTCTTGAATAATTTTTCCCAAACATGGCAGCCGTGTTTAAGGCCCAAGCTGAATCTTTTTCTCTAGTTGTGATTTCATTATGAATTTGTATGCCATGTTAAGTAATTTTCAAATCTATTTTAAGCGAAAATGCTAAATATTATGATGTTGAACTTTTTTGTGTGTAAACCTCCATTACCGCCCGAGGTCGTGGGTTCGAATCCCACAGGGGTATGGCTGTTTATTTGTGTTTGTCTGTGTATTCCTGTAATTGGGCCTGTGCCTGTTGGAAATGCTAAATTTAATAGTTCAACAAGAGGACCTTTGGGTAGTTTTACCCTTACTTCCTATCTATCTGACCCACCCCTCATGGAAATTTTAAAATTGTTATTATTACATATGATATGATTACAAACACGTATCATTTTAACATATTTATATTTAAGTCCCTGAAATGCCACATATTCCTGGGACAAAATAATGCAATATAACTAAATTAATATATATGCACAGATTGATAATAACCAATATACATGGTGTCAAAGTTTAAAGTTTGTTTTCGATTTTATTAAATAACTTTGAAAAAAAAACAACAAACGTTTTTTGCTCAAAATTTGATATTCAGGGGTTGTACAGAACGGGAAAATTAAATTTCTTAAAAAAATTAATTTATAGTGTAGAGGGCGATGTCTGCGTCACCCCAAAAATCAAATTTTGTGCAAAAACTTTTTTTTTAGAATTATAAATTGCGATAGGTACCAGCTTGCAACAACAATATTTACTTTGTCATTTTATTACATTTCATTTAAAAAACAGCCAATTTTATAACTTATTTTATAATTATTTTTTATTTTAATACAAAAGGCACTGTATACCTACAAATATATTGTAACACAATAACGCGAATTAAAAAACGTAAAATCGCGACCTGAGAATTAGATTGTTCTATCTCCCAAAATTTAAAGAGGAACGAATAGCAGTTTAAAGTTTAATTTATATGCAAATGAAATTTTAAAAAGCTGTTTTTCCGTGTCAGATTTTTGAAAGAAAGAATCTCCCAAAACCTAAACACGGAAAAACAGCTTTTTAAAATTTCATTTGCATATAAATTAAACTTTAAACTGCTATTTGTTCCTCTTTAAATTTTGGGAGATAGAACAATCTAATTCTCAGGTCGCGAAATATAGGATTTAAACGCGACAACATTACGAGTTGTTGACAGTTGGTTTCTATGGTAACGCTTTTCGCTTTTGACAGTGGCAGTGACATTATATAGGTATGCAGTGTTATTTGAAATCTTAAAATGAGTTGTGAAAACGAATTATTATATTCTGCAAAAGAATGGTCCAACAGAGAAAAAAATATTACAAAAAAGTATGGGAAACAAAAATAAAGCAACATTAACACTTTTAAATAATTTACTTTAAACACTAAATTATGGTCACCAAATAAATAAAACGTGTTCGTAATATATATACACTATAGTGTTGCCGGATCTTCTAGACGAAAATGACAGACTAATAATTTTGGTTCGACACAGTCGACATTATTGCAAAAATGTGCGGTGAAAGTTACCAAAAATTTATATGGTATAAGGGCATATGCGTTACCATTTAGTACAGGCAATTATGGGACACCTTGTATCTAAAGCATTCTGCAAATCTTCCTTATCATCGTTAAAGTCCTAATTGATGCCACATCTTTTTACTTAACCCAAGATCTTATCTAATTTCATAATTGATGGCAACTATACTTATCCTGTCTATTAGCGATGTGTTTTAATTCAATAATAACAATATTCTTTGTTGTTTTATGCCACAATCGACATTCCGATCTTATTTCGTTAAGTTTTTTCGAAAAGTAATTTGGTTTTTCGGAAATGCTTTTTTGTGTCGATAGTTTTTATTTTAATGACGGGTTTGGTTTTATTTACTCTTGGATTCCATTCTCACGATGCCTAATTGAAAAATTATGGATTATTGTAATAAAGTTTTTTTTGGGGAAACTGGTTTGAATACCTTTGGCAAGTCAGCACTAATTTAAAGAAGAATTTTGCGAGATTTTTTGTGTTTGTTGTTAAAATTCTCGTGTTAACACTTTGAGCGTTAGATATTTTTAAAATATTTAGGGTGATTATGGCGAAGTTTTCACAAATATTGTTTTAACCCTAAACAAACAGTTTGGCATGATGCCATATAAAAATATTTTACTAAACAAAAAAATCCTTTCACGGTATAACAGAAGAATTTACTTCATTAAATTATAATTTATATACCTAGTTTAAATATTTCTATAAATAGAAAACTAATAGAAAAATGCTTTAAAATCAATTGGAATTAATTGAAAACAACTAATCCGTATGGGCATACTATTGATATTTAAAGGTTGGTATTTTTAATGCCAACTTAAATCCTAATTTATTTGGTACGCGGCTAAGAATTAAGTGTAACTGTAATTTCTGAAGTAAATAAGTCCATTAAGATAATGTATTGCATCTACTTAGTCATAACTAAGTTACTTATAAAGTGATTTATTTAAATTGAGTCGGAAGCAAATACTATTTTAAAACATAGGACCTACGTAATAAGAATAAAACAAACTATATTTCCATATTATATTTCTTTATACATTTTACTATTAAATATTGAATACCATAAAATATTGAATACCAACAGTTACTGTTAACCAGCAGGATATGAAAAATAAAACAAAAAATAATATTAAAAAAAACAAAAGGTCACTGTTACAAACCTGTAGTTACTATAGTTTATATGTTTTTTATGTTTTTTTAAAAATGAAGAAATAAAATCTGACATCTTCCAAATGGTTTACCTTACTTTTTACCAATTTTAAATGTTATTATAGTCGCATTCTCCCTATTTCGGCCAATCACTTATGCCTAACAACGTGAATATTATTCATTCATTATTCCCGTTGTTAGGCAGCGAATTTATAATGTTTATCATTATTCAGGAAAAAATATTCTGCAATAGAAGTAGATAGAATACATTTTACAGTATAGAAAGGTGTTTTGGATAAAGTTTTTTTTAAATTTCTTAACAAAAAGTTCATCCCGATTTAATTCGCAATAATAATGAATTAAAATTGAACAATTAATTTAATCTTTTATAATGTAATTTTTTGTCACCCCGATTCTTACTGGAATATTTAAATATTATTTTTTTTTAACTTTCGTCGACCAAAAGCTTTAATATCTTTAAGGGTGTTTAGTGCGCAAAATTAATAAAGTTATAAATTTACTATTAATTTATAATAATTGTTTAATTATTGTTATTGTTTTTTAGCAAACTTAAATAAAATGTTTAATTTTTTATAGTTAATTTGCTAAATTTTTCGAATTATCATAAATAATATATAAATTATATATTTAAATAATTTTTTTTATATTAAGTATCAATTTAAAGAGTTTATAATATTATATTATAATATTTGTGCCCAAAATTACAATTAATAATAAATATTAAGGTCTCAATGATTTATGGGTAAAATTTCAGATATGTACATATTTTTTATTTTAATAACATTTTAAATTATTTTGTGTTAAAAACGTATGCAGTCTTCCTAAATATACAAACATAAACTATTTCGTTGACAGTCCAAACCTTTTTACTTATTATAGCCATACAAGTATTTTAGAATAAAGTTCTTAAAATTATGTTGTACATTTAAAAGTAGCCCCTCTAGTTTGTACTTTACCGCCATTTTAGGAATTATGAACATAACCTTAAAACACATTAGAGTACTAAGTAAATTATAAATTGTATAAATATATGAATGTATACAATTTTTTTTTATTTTTATTAATAAATCATAAAAAAGCAGTTAGGATTGCACAATTTAAAAAATGTTCTTTGAAGGAATCCAAAATAATTAAAATTTGACTTTGACAGATTTGACGTTTGGGGTTATGCTTAAAAAACATGATCTTCAAATATGTAAATCTTTAACTATAATAGGTACAACAAAACTACAGTACCTAAAATCCACCTCCTCAAAATTAACATAGATACTTATCAGGATTACGTACATTCTTAAATCCTTGTGACAAAAGCGTAAGGATATTAAATCATCCCATTTATAAGTTGCCGGGACAAAAGATTACAAACCTCGGTAAACATCCTCCAGATTAGAGAAAAACCTTTCAAATAAACATTTGAATAGGATTACTGGAATAGTTAACATTGATCACCCGAAAAAAAAACATCTCCTCGCAAGAGATGATCTAGACGGTCAATGGCGAATAAGGAGTGGCCAAAGGCGTGATGCGGCGCTCCCATTCGTCGCGGAAGGCCCGGTGGGAGGTGCAAGGATCCACGTGTACAGGACCACACGTGCGGCCAAAGTGCCACAGTTCAGTGCTACAAAGGACTCAGCTGTGGGTGGTCAGCTTACCCATTGACTCCTCCTCGAAACCGACGAAATCGTTCGCCTTCCGCTCGGGACCCGATCTCGAACCACCCCTACTCCTACCCCTGTGGCAAAGTAAATAGTCAGCACCAGGTGATATTGTTTATTTTTTGCGTTCGTGATCGCGTAGTGTGTACCTTGGTGCGGGTGGATATTTATTATTATTTACTAAACAGACATGCAGGTGACAGTGTTTTGCGTGATTTTGCTTACTGTGCTCTCACACTACACCCTAGGGGATGAGTTAACCAACCGGGCCAAGAACAGGGGAAAAGGATCCATGTGGTGGTAAGTCCTATTCTTATCACTAGTAAACATTGGTTTGGTTTGTTGAAGCTCTTCAACTGTCAAAAAACTTTATTGCTTGGATTCAGCCTTCTTCGCTTAAATTTACTTGGTATACAAAACTCCTAAAAGAAACTTCCAACTAGGAATGTCATTTATTAGTTCACTTGATCTTCATAACAAACTCAAAGAAATCATCCAAAGGATCTTAGGATTTTTTTTATTTAGCAAGATCAAAGCTATCTGTAAGGACAACTGGTGATATGTTAAACAAATATTAGAAATATTTCAACACTTTGCTTCTGAAGATGCCAACACCGTTGGCGAAAAGTACTTTAAGCACTTTGTGTTTTGTTTTGGTGTTGAAGAATATTTCTAACATTGTTTAAGATCAAAGCTGGTTAAAATTTATTAATGGTATTTCCAATAAGCAAGTTAATAATTATACCTCATTGACACTTTTAATTATACAAAACAAATTAATCTCTATTGACAACTTGAAATGTAAACAATACCGCGCTCGTTATAACGTCAAACCAATAGGAATAAATTGCGCCATTGTCATCAACTTGCCTATGATTTAATCCTAATCCCCCATACAAACTTCAGGTTGTCATCGAGTCGACTGTAGTATCCGCGGAATGCTGAAATATGTGTTTAAATTATGTTGTACAGAATAAAATAAAAAGCTGCGAATTTTTTGCCAGTTTCTTCAGGCACCAAAAGTTGGCATTGTCTCACGGAGCCGAGCCGGCCGAAAAATCGTCATTAAGAGTCAGCGCGCATCCGCACTCTTGACACAAGAGATTTACAAGATTCATTTTGTCCATGTAAAGATTTTTACATCGGAACGAGCCCGTGATAGACAGCCTACACAAACTGACGCAGAAAAAAACCGACGAGATTTTTGACGTTTGTTGTTGCAAGTTGACGATCCTTCTAATTGTGATTGATTAAAAAGTATTTATCGCCGGTTAGACGAAAGTGTATAAATCAATGGAACTAGCCAATAAAATACCTAACGACCGACATAAATAATATCGACGGCGTTCTCCATGTTAATTTCAATCGGTTTCTCACGGTTTTTTAACGATTAAGTCACATTAGAAGTATGCGGGTTCGTCGTCTTTGTGACTGTTGCAGTCTGTTTCGGAAAATGTCCTTTTTAAGGACGTATAATTCTTTCTGCAAATATACAAACAATGTCATGTGTCCGTGGACGATCAAGTGTTTGAATTGTTGACATTTTAACCATAGTGCTATTGTTTATAATTGAGTCAACGGCATTGTGATGGAAATGTCGTCGATTTGGACAAACAAGCAGCTGTGACACATGACATGGCACCCTAACTATTTACCCAGCTAATAAAAACATCTTAGAATTTTATCTAATCGCGGTGAAATTGGTGGAAATATTGGTTACAAGCTGAACAAATCACGTCATTAGTGCGGGGCCGGGTTCTCGATGTAATATTTCAGCTGAAAGCCGTGGCAGCTGAAAGGGCTTAGGTCATTTATTACAGCTCGGGGGTGATTTATCTGTTTTGATTTGAGTTCGGTTGTTGGTTTGTTTTCGTTGCCTGCCATCTAATTAATTTTTGTCACTCATTCATGACTCGTCGTCGTCGAAAGATATGATGAGAGAGTGTTGTGTAACGACAGGTTGTTTTCACTTTTTAATCTTTCGATCACAATAAAAATGGTAGCGACGTCTTGTAGGAACGTGTGATGTATTATTCTATCTTGATCTTAATTGCAAAAAGTACCATTCTAAAAATGACGGATCAGGAATACGAAGTGAACGGGAACCGTGAGAAAGATCATACGGTGCGTTATCTAAGTTTTCTGTCAGCAATATGTTAACCCCTTATCTAGAGATTCCTGAGGCAATGGTATGTCACCCGGTTGAACAAAAAATACGGCACTACCGTGGACTAATATAAAGATTCCAGTGTGTAGCAGCATCCTTGTCCGATGCATTTGTGAGCGCTCGAGGCGAAATATTTCTGAAAATTCCTATAATAAAGTGGCATCGCTTTTACATTACCCTGAGCTAGTTTTTTGTTCACTCGGTCTTTCACGTGGGTCTGATATCTTTAAATTTATTGAACCATTATGATGCCCTATGACTCTACATTTTTTACCACCAAAAATACCAAAGTAGTTTTATTTCCCAGAATTCCTTCCTAATGATTTTATTAAATACACAACAACATAGGTACACAGTAAAAACATATTTGTTAATTTTAATCAATTTTATGTTAATCCAGGTCCTCATACTTTATGTTAAGTTTACAACCGACTGTAATCTGTTAACCAATTGAATAAGTAGTTTGTAATTATAACAAACCTTTTTGTAGACCCAGTAACAAAAGTATTTGTTGGAAATTGGGAACTTAAATGAAAATAATTTTTATATAGAAATGTTGCTTTATTAATCAATTTCTAAACAAAAAAATTAAAACATACCTGCATAAATAAACACAAACAGAACATACACACAATTAAATAACACACCATTCTGAAATCATCAAATTATAAAAAAAATTGGAACAATATAATTATCAGTACTACTACAACACTTACTGATGTATTTCTTAACTTTAACCCACTTTACTGTATCCCCTAATTTCAGTTTGAAAACCAGTGATGGCATATTTTTTTGTATACTTCGCACACTCGTTAAATAGGTATAAGGAATCCGACTAACAATAATAACAGATTTCTGGTAATATATTATAAACACTCTGAACAGTTGTTACGAACACGTTACAAATTAGAATAAGGTAAGCAGAAACATAAGTTGCAGACGCAGAAGTCAGTTGAACTTGTTGATGCGTATTGTCGGTGAGAAATGTTTTGATTGACTTCCTGAAATCACTTTTTCAACGAAATAATTTGTTTAACATTAACAAAATAATCTGTAACCTTTGAAATTAACAAAATTCTTACATAATTGCATATTACCTTTACAAAATAAAATTAACAAACTACAAACAAATCTGATTTTTATAACAGTGTACAACAATTTTTCAACTTCCTTCTTCTCATAGGTAGGTATTTACGTTTGTCGGCGCAACCAAGAAACCGTTTTTATTTGCCTACCGCAAACAAATGTCGAAACATCAAACAAAGAATTATCAAATACTCGAGTAAAATCAATAGGCCCTACGCCTTTTTCGGCCTTTCACAAATACACTCCACGCAAAAAACAATCACTAACGTTTCGTTGTTTATTTCAGGGGCGTAGCGAAAGCAGGGGAACCCAACAACCTCTCCCCCCTATCGCCTGGAACTTTCTACTCAGGCTCGTCGGTCCACACGACTCTGAGAAAAAAACAAAAACGAATAGCACGCGAAAATCCAGGACTACTAGACGCAATCTCTAAAGGAGCGAACATCGCCATACAAGAATGCCAGCATCAGTTCAGGAACGAGTGGTGGAACTGCACCACTAAGCAGTTCCTGCGAGGGAAAAACTTATTCGGAAAAATCGTCGATAGAGGTAAGTGCATTACAATGATCGGCCTACTTTCTTACATTACTTTCACTTCGAGTACAGATTTACTTGCTTTAGATAACATTACATAATCGTGGGAACAATTAGTCATTTTAAATTAATTACTTATATTACCAGAACTATATTGATTGCTTAGTGCCGTATAATCTGTAAAATGTTGGGTATTTAAATGATTTGGTTAAAAACACGTTATTCTAATTTAGCTAATGGGCAATTAATAGTTGGACCATGAGCTCTTGAAAGATCAATTTGTTAGGTATTTAATTAAAATAATTCCTGGGACAGAATCAAATTGGTTCAATTTAGAGAAAACTCGCATCAGGTAAAAGAGAATCTGTTAAATTAAAGTGGTATTTTGGGTAGTTGTTTATCGGGTGATCTACTAAAGCCGGGCTGCTATTTGTTATTTGACTGATAAAGCATCTTATAAACTCGCTCTATTAGGCCCCAATCGATGTGTAATTTAAGTCTTCAATCATCATGCTCATCGAACCTCGATGTAACAGAAACTGATACTTTCTTTGTAACAAACACTTGAATTATTTGGTAGCCACTTGAGTCATTCTATATTTATGAAGCTTTAAGACACGCCGTTTAGGCCCCAACGACAATTTTATCTATGACTTTTCATCCTACCATTGGATTCTTTTAAATTTTTGCTGGTATCATCCATTCATAATCAATTTTTTTTCTCCAAACATCCTGAGAATTTTTCTTTTTCATTTCTCCAGCTTCTTTTGGTTACTCTTTCTATCTTAAACATTTTGATAATTGATTTTTACTAAAATATACATTAAAACGTATTGTTACAGATTCCTTTTAAATTTCTGCTGGTCTCATCCATTCCTAATCAAACATCCTGAGGATCCTTTTGTTTACTCTTATTGGGTCATTATATCTAAAACATTTTGACAATTTATTTTTGCTAAAATATACATTATGGGAAAAGTTTTTTAAACATTTGCAATAAAAAAAGTCCGGTGGTGTATAATTATAACTAATGGTATTCTTAAGTGTGCAGCCACTTTTCTTTGTGGTTTTGTTTAAGAAAGATGAATGGGGTAGTGGCCGGGGCGTGTACATGCATGTTTGCAGATGCATGGGATTTGAATGAATGCTAAAAGGACCCAACCGGAAAATGGGGCCCGTAGGTAGTAATTTATCCCTGGGGAGCGATCACGAATTGCTCGTATCAAAATACTGTTCGGAGACCTTAACGTTTTTGAAATTGATTAGGCCAAAAAGACTTAATTACTTACAACATCAATGGTTATGTTAAAAGCAGCCCGAGGATGAATGCCGTTTTTTTTGTGTCACTTGGTTTTGTCAAAGGGTTGGTACATAAAAGACTACGTCCAGATGTTGTTTGCGCCAATTCATCTTTTGTAGTGGACATCAAAAAAGTTCGAGTGGCCGGATCCCTCTTTAGTTGATTAAAACTCCTGACCACCTAGAAATATTAATTAGCCGGCCATTAAATTAATTATTCAGCCGATAAATACGTTTTAACGATCCAATTTTGACGAGTATATTCGATCAAAATCTCGTAGTGATAAAGAACAATAGCGGGGCATATATCATACCTCTCGCCGGGACACTCTCTGATGACGTAATTACTCGTTCTTTGCCCCGGGGAGCCTAGAGATTATCGAAATAACAATAACTCATAACATTCAGCTGGCTCACACAAAGAGATGTGCTGCACAAAAATCTCAACCTTTTAACACTTATACGGGATATAAAATGCCTTTGCCAAACAAAAGATCCCCGAAACGATTAAGAAATTAGTTTGTTTATTTATTAGTTGGCAGGTTTTTTTGATTGTGCAACACTGATTTTCTAGAAAAAAACATCCAATTGATTTTATATGAGCAAATATTTATTCATGACACTTAAGATGCTAATCTAATCTAGGTATTTAAATATTAAAACATGAAAAATGTATCTGTAGAAAATTGCGTGTGGCAAATTCAAAAATAAACTATTTTATTGGGTTGTTGATATGTTTACGACTTAATAAAGATTTTTATCACTTTGTATTTGACATAAGCTTTTATGTCTCTTTATATATTCAGTTAATTTATATCGTGGTCGAGCCGCTAACAATATTAGCTCGATGAAAATCCTTAACGGTTGCAAGTTAGGTCCCTGAGGCACACCGCAACATTCAACGCTCCTATTTCTCGGTAAGCTACAATAAAGTTACCGTTGCACAAGAGCTTGGCGGTGGTCCGATTGCTTTCCGCTTTAAACATTATTGGAAACTACCCCAAGCTCACCTCACAATCCATCATTATAGATTTATGGGAGGCATTCACCAACGGTAGCAAAATTTGCCATTTTAATGGTCGAATCTGTCACGCACCTCTCGACAAAACGATTTTATTGGTGGTCATCATTAGAAATATTTAGAAATTCGTCTCGAACCTGAAACTATTCAAACTTCAAATCTTTTGTGTAATTAGTAGGTATTTAAGAGAAACACATGTCAAATGAATGCTCGCCAATTAGCCAGAGACACGGTAGATAAAAAGTCAATAAAACCGGACAACCTGCAGATCAATAAATATCAATTATGATCGATCGTTTGCGAAAAAATGCATTCATACCAAAGCAAATTCCAACTCTTTCATATCCCTGTCATATTTGACATTGCTATCATTCATTTGTACTTTTTCTCATTCATAAAATATAAATACACGAAGTAATTTAAGAACAAAGACATTCGGAAGCGAAAAGCTCGCATGAGATTTGAATAACAAATCGAGATCATTAGATGTAAATTAGGTTGTAACGGGTCGTAGTCGATGAAATACAGATTGTGTGTTACACCCACAAAAATGAAAAATTGTCAGTTAATAAGGCATTTACAACTGACACTCTATGGGATCGCGTGGGCTATGACGCAGCAGGTGTCCTCCTTTGTACACAGCTAAACGAGTGGCAGGTATACATCTTCATTTCTCATATCATGGCTACGGCTATGATTTAGTACGTCTGTCCGTATTTTATATTGCTTAGGTAGTTACACTAATAAATATTTCCTCTCAATGAAAGCAAACTTTATTGGTGTATTGTGTGTATCGTAAATTACATTACGGAATCGTCTTTTTTACAGGTTGCAGAGAAACAGCTTTTATCTACGCAATAACCAGCGCGGCGGTTACGCACGCCATAGCGAGGGCTTGCAGCGACGGCGCCATAGAAACGTGCAACTGCGAGTCGCACTACAAAAACCGCCCCCAGGTGATCGGGAACGGCAACAGCGTGGGGGCGGTCAGGGATTTCGAGTGGGGCGGCTGTTCCGACAACATCGGATTCGGCTTCGCCGTCAGCAGGGAGTTCGTCGATACTGGGGAGCGGGGGAAGAGCTTGAGGGAGAAGATGAATCTACACAACAATGAAGCTGGCCGATGGGTAAGTTCGCATTTTTTATTCAATGATTTTACCACCATATTTTATGATGACTGGATTTTTAACTTCTAAACTAGGTATATCATTTTATACTAACTGGATTATATCCATCTGATATTCCATGCTATGTATGTCTTAAATCTTGAGTATGGTATAAATAACTTATTAACAAGAAGGAAATATTACTGCTCTGTTTTTATTTATAAACTACTTAATAACCTTTTAGATAGTCCTGATATATTAAAACTTATTAGTATAAAAGTACCTGATACAAGATTAAGAAAAACACAAATTTTATGCTACTCATGTCCCCGAACAAATAGGCAAGTAAATTCGCCTCGAGTCAAATGTTTTAGTATTATAAACCAAATAAACTGTGATATTTTTATTAATAATTTATATTAATTTTTTGGGTATTTATGAAGACTGATCACTTTTATAAGAGTGATCAAAACCAGATATATGCTTTTAAATACCTAGCAAATTGGAAATAGTCACTCTTCAATAATAATTTTCTTCACATGCATATTAATAATAATAATAATCACAGTTTTTTATATCATTTGGAAGACTATAAAATAATATTATTCCGTTAACAAAAACATTTTTTGTTGTTTGAACCCTATCATAATTTGAAACATAAAAATCGTTAATACTCCTAGTATTGTAATTATGGACAGTTTGTACTAATATTAATTTTTTATTTAAATTCGTAGACACTATCCCCATTTTGACTAAATTTAAATAATAGTGTTGTAAAAACCACATATTGTTTTACACTCAACAAACTTAATTTATCAAGCATCATCTTGATTGGAGTGTACCTGTTACATTCTAAATGCTTTATTTTGTAGTTTTTGCATTTCATTATTATTTATACTAAACAGTACAGTTGAACAATAATCGAAATGTGGAGCTATAATGGCTTTATATAGTTATAATTTTACTTGCAATGAGAGATTATTTCCAATTCTACCAAGAAAATATACTTTTTTTTTTAAATTTTATTTAATAAATATTCAACATGATAGATATTTTATTTCATCCACTTTTTCAATTTTAATATTATTAATTATCAGGTTTACTTTACTAAAATCTATATTAGTTGTTTTGCGATTAGAAGAAATACACATATATTTGATTTTACTTAGATTAAGACATATTATTATTACAAAGCCATTTATAAATAATTACTAATTCTAAATTTAGGGTATTTACCATATCAACAATATTATAACCACTAACAAAAATCATAGTATCATCTGCAAATATACAAATATCATATATTTACATATATACAATAAAAGCAACAGTGGTCCCAGAACAGTACCCTGAAGTACTCCATAGTTGTTTTCGATATTGTTTCATGCGTGAACTGCTGGTCATTAGCTCACGATAAAAACCAAGCTTCATGATTATTTTATTTTTAACCACTATAACTAAATCGTCCAAAATATAAAAATTTCTTTCATCAATGTTATTGCTATATAATTTTGTAACATTCATGAATTTAATTTGTTCTTTATGAAGAGTGATCCCTTCAATCTAACATAAAAAACTAGATTTATGCTTTGAAAGAGCAAATTACAAATATTCACTCTCATGCATATAGTTTCTTATGGTCATTAGCTTACAGTGGATAAGACTAGTTTCCATATAGCTGGGGAAATGATTTGCTAGAATTTTGCAGGATCGAGATAAACTTGTAATATGGTTCTAACGCGGTTCTGTATAAGCGTTTGCCGTTTAAGTTGCAAACCACGAAGTCAGTCCTTGCCATCAACGTCTTTACTGTACAAAAAAACGGTCGCAGTTCGTATAAAGTAATTTTCTGTGATTTCACGTACTGGCGAACAGCTAGAAACACATGTTCGGGTCGGGCCACAGTGTAACGCGGTGCATCTCGATAGGGAGCCCTATGGCACTTCGGAGACACATCTGCTCCTCCGCAGGGTGCAACAATGCAACGTATCGCACCGCTTTACACGCTACTCGGGCCGAATTTTAATTTTATCGCTCCGAGAGCGAACCAAAACACAATACTAATTAATGCGCAATCAACATTCTTACTTACTTACACCACTCGAACGACCCTGTGAACGTTTCTTTTGCCGTTTTACATTATCCCGATTTTAGTGCCACTCTTTTAGAATATCAACATTGCTCATAACGCGCGCAAATAAAAATTAACTAATTACGTTCCTTAACCGTCTCATTAGAGTGAAAATATGCCAGGTAAGGTCACGATCAAGAACAGGCCTGAGAAAAAAGCGGGGAATGCAATAAATTCGTTTAAGATTTAATTAGTGGTGTTTCAAGAGTGTTGTTTGTACGCAGTCGATATGACGGACGCTTGAATTATTTATAATTGCTTCCATAAAATTTTCGTAAACATCTTTACGTGAGAGCTCGCGGACAGATTAAAAGTACGTACAACAAAGTTGTAAGAAAAAGGAACTAATTCAGCGATCGGGAAAATATTTTGAGAAGCAAAAGGTTTAAATCTCGTTCGTTGGGAGAGCGACAAGTTTTAGGCTTCGAGCCAATCATAAATTAGTGTAATTACTTTCTTATAAACCACTTAAGCGATGAAATACTCGAGCGCGAAAAGATTTACAGAACAGTTAGGCCGTGGAAAATTTATACCGCAAATAAATGAACAGTAAATAAAAATTACTACCAAATGAAGTTTAATTTTGCCGCATTAAAAATAAACTCTCTTATGCTATGTACATGTCCATTAAATTATAACGCCTCCAATTTAAAGCATTCGCAGTAACATTGTTTCATGTATCTCTGGCACGAATTCTGGACGAGATAGTTGAGGCTTTGAAGTCGATAGCGCTAATGAGACCCGGTATCGGCATTAATTAATTTTAACGATAGGGGAAGCACTTCCAGGGTGACTTACAATCGACTAATTTTGGTTTATTTACACGTCTGTTTTCTAAACGAGATAAAATTTAGTTTATTTTAAGTGCTTTCGGAGATATACGTACACCGAACGACTTAAGTGTCTACAAATAACTACACCAGTATGTACGTAAGCACTTTTTTGCAATGTGTCTTGATATCCGTAGGTACAACGCAAGTACTTTTTTCTCCGATGTTGGAAAACATGCAGAGGAAATTGGAATAAGTCAATTTAAGCATAATTAATGATACATTTTAATGCCCGTGTACGTACAAATCTAATTAAACAGTATTAATTAATTACGGATACGCAATAAAGAGGCGCATAAATCTAATAAAATGTATATTAAAAGTACCAAATCACGGCCGTTAATAAAAGTTCACCTGTAGCCTAGCGCCTAAAGCGAATGTCACATTATTAGTAATGGGCGGTCTTAGCGGCCAGTAACAAGTTAATATGCATTTTAATAAAACCTGATGCGACCACCCGGTAGAAGTGACCAGTTTCTGCATAAATCAAAACCTTTTTCTCACACCAGTCATCATTAGAATATTTTAATCTCGCATAAATAATCCGTTTCGAATCCCATTTATTAATTTATATTTATTCTTTTGCAGCACGTTCAATCTCAAATGAAGAAGGAATGCAAGTGCCACGGCATGTCAGGTTCGTGCACGGTGAAGACGTGTTGGATGCGCCTACCTCCATTCAGAGTAATCGGGGATCTATTGAAAGATAGATTCGACGGCGCGTCCCACATCACCTCCTCCAACTCCGGCATCCACAACTCCAACAAGGCTCACAGCAATCGGCTTCCGAAACACTCCAAGAGCAACAGCTTGATGACCAACAGCATCCACGCGAAGAGGGAGAACAGGAGGAAGCACAAGTACGGCTTCCAGCTGAAACCTTTGAACCCCGAACACAAACCTCCAGGGTCCAAGGACTTGGTCTACTACGAGATGTCCCCAGGTTTCTGCGAGAAGAACCCCAAGTTGGGGATCCCCGGCACATACGGCAGGCAATGCAACGAAACGTCCATTGGTGTGGACGGTTGCGCCATCATGTGCTGCGGCAGAGGTTCGATACCGCAAGAGGTCATAGTGAAAGGTAGATGTAACTGTACTTTCCACTGGTGCTGTGAGGTTAAGTGCGACATATGCAAAACGAAAAAGATCATCCACACGTGTGCGTAAAGTAGGACTTTTTGCGGACGGCGTTATTTCGACGATATCTATTTATTATTATTTTGTACCATAGCTGTAACGTACTAGAGTGCCAACAGTTCGAAATGATGCCGTTTCGAGTTTTTGATCAGTATTATGAAATTTGATGATGAAAAGACTGATTTCGAATTTTAAGAATGAGTCATTATTTTTTTGTATATAGTTATTTATGTGTCGATATTAGTTTTACTTGTTTCCTTATTTATTTATCAGACAATGTACATAGAAAAAATCAGCAGGTAGTGTATCTCAAATTTTGTAAATGTACCTTAATTTATTGTGCTGTACAGTAAAATTCTTGTATATATTTTTGTAGCCTAATTTGTAGATACCCCGTATAATTATAATTATTACTTATTTATAATTTAAACGTACTTGTATATTATTTATATTTTATTCTTTTTGTAAAGTTATTATTAAACATTAAACACCATTATACTAGTTTTTTATTTCTAACCATGGGTTGTTTATTTGACAACAAAATTAATATTTATGAGGCGGTTTAATTATATTTAAATAAATAACAATTAGTAGCAATTAACAGGTAAGCTGAATAATTGTGTAAAATATTACAGGTGCATATTTCCTTTCATGTAATTACTTCATTTTGCATAATTTTTCACACAACAAAAACACTTTTTGCTTTACGATGAAGATGGCCATAAATAAGGCGGTTTGAGCGAAACAAATATATAGACGTAATTGATTTTACTTAATAAATAGTATAAAGCGACGTCCCTACGTTGTATATGGGTCATTGTAATTTGTAATTTACGGACCAGTTAGTTGCCAGACTTGGCTCATTAGTGTTTATTTTTTTAATGTCATGGCCTCTCTCTCTCTTTCTCCGAGAATACATTCTCGCGTCAAATTTATACCCGTAAATTGGGTATCTTTCGTTTAAATGCATTTTCCGGACGATAAATAACAACTCATGTTCGAATTTATGCCTCATATGCAAATGCTCACTATCTATTAATTTGTTTCTTCTACGGAGTTAAACCGACCGAGATTTACTTTCTGTTCAATTAAATCTCGGTTTATCTTAATTCCGCTGAAACCACAGATGTTTCTAAATAGCCTGTGCATATGGGTTATATGAAATAGATCGGGTACACTGTGTTAGCTTTAGACTTGGTCTTGACATTTCATCCACCTTTTGTTTCTGATCACCAAAACGAACTTACTCGACTTATGATTATTCACAACAAGTTCTCAAACATATTGGATGAACTAATTATTCTCTACATCAAATTGTGAGAAACAATTTCACAAAATTTTTTGTAGAAAATCAGGATTTGTAATTATTTTAACAAAGGAAAATATTTTACCGAAAGTAATATGCAATTTTGTAAGCATTTTGTTAATTTCAAAGGTTAGAAATTATTTTGTTAATCTATAACAAATTGTTTCTTTGAAAAAGTACACGTGATTTCAGACAGTCAATCAAAACATTTTCCACTGACAATACGTATCAACAAGCTTAATTGACTTCAGCAACTTATGTTTCTGGTTACTTTATTCTAATTCGTAATGAGTTCGTAACTAGAGTGTTTATAATATATTACCATAAATCTGTTTAACGAGTGTGCAAAGTGCGAATTATCCGATAAAGGATGCCATCACTGGTTTTCAAACTTAAATTGGGGGAGACAGTGAAGTGGGTTAAAGTTACGAAATACATCAGTAAGTGTTTTAGTAGGACTGATAATTATACTGTACAAAATTTCTTTATAATTTGATGATTTCAGAATGGTGTGTTATTTTTGTGTTCTTTTATGTTTTAACTTTTTTGTTTAGGTAATTGAATAATAAAGCAAAATTTCTTATCAAAATTCTTTTCATTTAAGTTCCCAATTTCCAACAAATACTTTTGTTACTGGGTCTACAAAAAGGGTTTGTAAAAATAAGGTCCTTTTAAAAAATTACAAGAACTATTATTGAATTACTGACATAGGATTTTGTTATTTAATCTACAAAATGTTTGTTATAATTACAAACTACACACATGATCAAAATTGTTGAATATTTTTGTATTTTAATTTTCACTTTGTATGGCGTTCTGTTTTTTGTTGTTTTGGAATAAATTTTCATTTAATTGTTATAATACGTAAAATAAAGAAAATTTAATGTATTAGTAGTATATATTTTTGTAGGAAATATTAAAAAAAAAACTTATTCCAAAACAACAAAAAATAGAATGTTATACAAAGCGAAAATTAAAATACAGAAATATGCAACAATTTTGATCATGTGTGTACTTATTCAATTAGTTAACAGATTGCAGTTGGTTGTAAACTTAACATAAAGTTATGTGGACCTGGATTAACATAAAATCTGGTTAATATTTGGTGAAAATTATCAAAATATTTTTTTACTGTTTAGATATTATTGCTGTTTATCAATTTCTGAAGATGAAGGTCAAAATAAGAACCATTCTAAGGCGAAACCATCCTTTTGAAATGTGCAACGGTGATCCACCATACAAAATCCTTCACAAAGCGATACTTTACTGTCAACTCCCATGTTTTATCATTGCTTTCTGTTAACGATACTTTATCATTCTTTAATTAAATATATGATGGTTTGGAAAATTTCCCAGTACTTTCATTGTTAGGTAGTAATTCTTACAGAGGAGTGTCAAAACTGTTTTTTTCAATATCTTTCTCCTCTTCTAGAAACCATGATACATTTTGATCAGTGGCGGCTGGTGGATTTTTGGTATACCGATATCTCAATTATTAAATATGGGACCCACACCAAATTTATATGAGTTTATAATGACATTAAATAAACAAGTTCTGCGCAAGCAGAATTTAAATTGAAGTTTCTTTCAAAAGAAATATTAAAAGTTTAAAATGGTATAATATCGGTATAATTTGGATTTTTTAAATAAAATTTGAAATTTGTCGATAAATTATGGTAAATAATAAATTGCACCAGTTAAATTTATATTATATTTATTGGGGGCGCCATGGGGCCGGTACGGCCGAGCAAAATTTTTTTTTTCGCAAACTTCAAATTAAATTCTGCTTGCCCAGAACTTGTGTTTATAAATTGTCATTATAAACTCATATAAATAATTGAGATATCGTTATACCCAAAATCCACCAGCCGCCACTGACTTTGATCAAAACGATAAATCAAATTTTTATCTAAAACAAACTAGAAATTTAAAATAATTGAAAAACAAATTCAAAGGGAAAGAGTGGTACCCTGAAAAAAGGATGATAAAATTACTGTCAAAAAGAATAATATAAAATATACATTTGTCAAAAGAGAAAAATATACATTTCCTTGAAATACATTGATATTGTAAAAACTTTGTAATTCAGAATGTCCAAAAAATAAAGTCTGGTTTCTGTTTCTGTTTGAAATCTCAGCAATCATTTTCCTGATGGCATCCTTTACTTTAAGCACTATAACTTACAAACTACATACAGTCTATAGACTGTATAGCAAAATGCCAGTTATTAAAGAAAATTTATGTTAACCGTAATTCTAACAGATCAATCAAGTTTCCGAAGTTAAAACGTCTTCGTCACGAGTAAAATTGGTTTTGAAAAGGAGATAATGGATTGAAAATTATCTATTGTCCCGGTTATAAGAGGTTTTAACTATATATAGTGTGTGGACTTGAGGCTCCATTGACGATTGGCCACTTTTTAAATTTAACGCCGGTTTTGATTGGATTTTGATTTAAACGCGCCGTGACATTACAACTTAGTTTAATTAAATCAAATTTAGTAAAGGTAAAAACGGATTTTTGACGGAGTTCACGGTTTCAGTTAAGTAATTTTTTTAAAAATCGTATATAAATTACACATTCTACAATAAACTACTTTTATGTAAACATACACCGAAAAAAATAATGTAGTTGAGTTAACATTTGCCTAAATGTCATTTTTAAAAATGTTGTTTCAACAAAAAACCTATTGGATTAATCTATATTTTGGTGTTAAAGCAAAAGTCAGAGTTTGTCAAAGTTTATTTGATCATTTGACAGTTTAAATATTAATTTAACATAAACTAATATTTTGAATTAAAATGTTTATCGTACTTTGATTTAATAGCTGAAATTTGTTGAATCAACTACTGAAATTTTTAGGATTACCTAAAAAAACTATTAAATTAACGTTTAGTTGCTCTTTAATTCAAAACTTTAAATTTGTTCATTTAACAAATTTAAAATGTTACTTTAAAATTTAAAATGTAAAATTTGCATTCATAAAATTGCCGAGAATGGCGCTTCGAACACTCACGCCACCGTGGCGTGAGTGTTCGAAGCGTCATTGTCTAATGACGTGGCGTCGCCACGTCATTAGACAATGACGTTTTCTTACATCTCGCCTTAGTTAGCTTACGATTAGGTGTATATAAGATGAGATATCTGTTTGTTTAAGGTGTGTTCCACAGTAGAACTTTCACTACACCATATTGCGCGACACTGTTAAGACCCTCAATACAGGGCGAAACAGTCTGTCGGTATTTGAAGTAGGTGGAACACATGATACAAAGATGTATCATGGGTGGAACACGCTCAAAACAAAAACTCTGGGCGAGGTGAAGGTTCAATTCTTTCTATTTATATATAATAATATATTATTTCCATAATTTTGTTTTGGATACCAACCTTTAAAGAATTTTACATTTTCAGAATGTTAATTTAACATTTTATTGGTGTTAAGTGAATATGCTAAAAAGGTTACCTGGACATTTCAAGAAATTTACCTTAACACCCTAAGAATGTTAAATTAACCAAATTAGCAGATTAGAACAAATATTCTTATTTTGTTCATTTGACTAAAATTTGTTGTTCAATTAAACAATACAATTTGACATTTTTAGATGGTTAAGTAAACGTGCAAAAACCATTGCTTGTATTTAAAGTGCATAAAGAGTTGAATTAATATTTTTGTTGTTGTTTCAACAGCTTATTTTTTTCAGTGTAGTATGAAATTTAATATAGAAAACCACATGTCGTTTATCACTTAACATTTTTATATGTTTATAAACATATTAAGTGATACCTACCTATGTCGTTTATGAACGAGTAAAACAAAAGACGGCATTGGTGCGAATTGAGCTGAAAAAAAGTTATGCAGGTCATTTTAAATGTGGTCCAGTAGTCTTAAGTAAATGACAGACGAGCCAATGGTATTTGATGGTACCCGAATCTGTTTACCGATGGTTCCCACGCTTTAAAACCACCGATATTTTTTGTTTTAACGTCTCGCATGCATAAAATTATATTTTTCGTGCGATTTTGATATTTATTTGTCTGAACCTCTGGCCGAATAAATTTTTATTTTGGTATTTGGGAAAATGTCTAAAATATGTAACCATCAATTTAACTGTTCTTGGTAATTTTCACTAGTTTAAATTTAGAATGGCTTGAAATCAAAATCTATAGATTTTTATA